CTCAGGAAGGAGACCGTGTAGCCATACCTGTTTAGTAAGTCACATCCCCCACATCCTTATACGTGGTTAAGGCTGCCTTACGCGGGCGAGTGCGTACGTGGCAATTCGGTTCTCTCGAGATCGCGAACGTACGTGCGTGCGTACGTAAGGAGAAGTTGATCGGTTCCGTGTGCCGGTCGCATTCAACCATAAGTGCAAATACTCTACCAATCACTACATGTTTAAAAAAAAGGGGGAAGGAGGGGGTAATCGACAGTTGGACCTTAGACATCCAAAGTGAGCATTCCTAATCAACCCCGATCTCATAGCCCATGCAGGTGAACACCGGTCCGAGACAACACAGGCTGCGCAAAACAGGTCGGAAAGATTGCTAACAAAAGAGAACAGACATTCATTCCATGGATATATACCAAGGAAGCAACAAGGAAAAATATGAGACAATATACGAGAGAAGTTCAAAAGAAAAGGGTCGCGATAAAGAGATCGACCATATCAGCATCCAAAATTATACAGATGTACAGAGGAAAAATGAAACGAGCAACAAAAAAAGAAGCGGAACAACAAAAAGAAGCCTTATCCCACACCCACACTACTACTCTCTCTTTCTCTCTCTCTTTCCCGTTGCGGGCAGTCCGTCGCCTCGCATCAATACCCACGATACCGGCAGGCCGTCGCCGCGTATCCACACAGAGTTGTCACCCCGCTTAGCCCGCATACGCCCGCCAGGTTCGCCCGTGCGCCACAGTCCGTTGTGGCCTACACGTCAACCCTCGCATACTTGGCACCAGCTCGTCGGATCGCCCAGCTCTCACACTCACTCACCTTCCAACTTGCTCGTTAGCCGACCCTCACTGATCGCACAAACCTCGAAATTCTTAGAGAGAAAACTAACCGCACTTGCGAAATTTATAGCATGCATGCCTGCGCGAAAGGTACGGGATTAAGCCTAGATGGACAGGGAGAGAGGAGAGGAAGTGCCTACATTTGCATGGCCAGGCCGTGGCGTGGGGGTCGTAGCCACTCTCCATGCATCGATCCGGTCATGTAGGCGCTTCGGCCTATTAGAACAGAGTATGCGAGACGAGAAAGGAGAAGGAAGAAAGCGGGCAACATAGGAGAATCAAGAAAGAAGAAGGATTACAGTTACGATCTCGCCCGCCAAAAGTGACAGTTACACAAGATTAAGGGCGCGACTCAGTCAGAACCCAGTTCCTCGCGCCACAAGATGCCTGTGAACGTTGCGCAAAAAAAAATTCAGAGCACCTAAATTCCTAGTCGAAGTCCTAATTGCAAAAAGAAATTCCGAGAAGAAAAACAATTTCGAGAGCCCGCAGGGGCTCGACATCAGTTAAAAATTCAAAAATGAAAATTCCCGCGTGCTAATCGCGCTAAAATTCCTGATGCTGACAGCAGAACAAGAAAGAAGCTATGGTACAGTTATTTCTTGCGCCCGTCATGGCGCAGCCATCGAATCGTCGGCGCGGGGGTCCCGACGCTGGCCCAATGAATTCCCTCAAAAAGGAAAAAGAAGCG